AAACGTGGGAGCTATATGAAATCGTCTAATAAATTATTTACACTAAAAAGGCTCGCATAAGATGCTTGGGAGCCATAAAGTTTGGTCTGTTCATAGAATGTCTTCGGAGTTTGGGACACGACAGCTAGTAGACAGATTGAAAAATACATTTATCATGTAAAATCATCACATAATAATTTCCTTCATGCCGTTATTGATACATATGATAAGTCAGAATGGGTTTTATGGAGAGTTTTTTTTAGAAATTACACAGGTTGAAATCATGAGTCAGTTGAAGCTAGACCACCATTGAAAACCTGGAAGCACTAGACGGCCGTTTTTAGAAAAAAAACTCTCCACAAAACCCATTCTGATAATAATCAACTGCTCACTAGTGACTGACTTCAGGAAAAACTCCTGGAGTTCTAGTGAGAAGCCGTTACCAGTGGAGTTCAACCGGTCTGTTGTGAGATAACAACTCACTAAAGACAATGGTGTATGGTGGCGCAACTTCGTGGATTGGTTGAAGTTAGACATTAACACCGTTGGATGCCGGCTCAGTGGTCTAATGGTTAAGTGCTCGCGCGCGAAGCCAGTAGGTCCTGGGTTCGAGCCCCGCGTGGTGCGGGATCGTGGATGCGCACTGCTGAGGAGTCCCATACCGGGACGAAACGGCCGTCCAGTGCTTCCAGGTTTTCAATGGTGGTCTAGCTTCAACTGACTCATGATTTCAACATATGATAAGTCTTGTGGATTGAACGCTACTTGTCATATCTAGTCGTCGCTGATTGTTGTGTCGGAAACGCTTATCATTTTTACTCGAAACAAGGGACCTCTGCAATTCCCACGACGCGAAAGTAAGAACACAAAGACTGGTATAATTGAAAATTTATTAACCCCCAAATCATGACTACAACTGTAGTCGAAAATACACTCATTTATGTATTGTTTGTGCACCCATTTCGATTAATAATTAGAATGAAATATATATAACAAATCACATAATGAGCATAGTTTATGTCAATGGAATACAAGAATATCGCATATTACACAGAATAAAATATCATACAAGAAAACAAAAATACTACATTGAGTCATCATTACACTGAATCAAAACGGATGTAATCTTGGACAAAACTAATAATGAGTAAATCAATCGAATTTTGACTTTTCTCATCATATAAACATGTACACCTGCTTCCTGATTGGTCAAAAGTTTTCCTCCTTACGGTTAAACTAAATAGTACTCTCAACATTTGATTTCATTTTCAAATAAAATTTCCATCAACAGTAGACGTTTTTTGTAAACTAGATTCCTTGTCTTGTCATTTACACTGTATAACTGAACAATAAATATGTTTATTAATCGCAGGAATATTAAGAACTAAATAAACGAAAGTTTCGCTTAGTGATTAGCCAGGTGTGTTTTGAATTTCGTACAAGGAATCAACATTTTGAATCTGGTTGTTTCGTCTTTAAAGTATAATTTTACCAACATGAAGTTTAAAATCCGGAGACCTACGTTCAAAAGTGTGCTTAGTCCTGTTTTAGAATTTGCTCATCATCAGGCCTAATCAGTATTCAGTTTATTAAGTAGTCCAATACGCTTTATGTACATGTTGTAATGTTATTCCATTAAATTAATGTGCCTGTTTCTAACATGTAACCGAATCAGATTGTCGAAGTTCATTCTTCTTCATTTGACTCCAACATATTATGTCGTGTTAACTGAGTGTTTTGGTAGGTCGATTCTCATAGGAGTACTATGAATTTATTTGATAATATTCAAAAGCCATGACACCAGTTGTTAGGATAGCACATTGTCAGTATTTAATACAATCCACAAGCACGAGAGATGCAAGTGCACTGAGCAATAAATTAGTGAGTGTGTGAGTAAAGAGTTGAAATATGTGTTGATCCATTGTGGATAAACTGTTGATGATGTGAATTTATAACCAATGGGAGGATAGATACAGAATGAGGTGCAAACACGCTTTCAATCGAACACTTTAATCGTGGACTAATTGTCTAAATACACAAAGTAAGTAATAAAAAATTTAATGGGGCTACTATAAGACAGGATGCTTTATTGCCATCAACTAAACAGTAAGGCTTACAATCCATGCACATTCCAGATTGGGTAGACTGACCCGGATAACGACATACAGGTATTGTCTGGTTAAGTGAGTAATACTCTTACAATATCCCACCTACACTCTTATCTCAACAAATAGCCAAGATACATTGGTATCTTTAGCTTCACTTCTTATTTCAGTGTAGATCTCCAACTCTTCTATATCATAGCAATTTCAATCGACCTGATATATTCACTTAAGTCTTCATACGGTTAAAGTCATTTCAACGCTCACCTCATCACACCATTTCATTTCGAATGATACCTAATCGTTGATTAAACATTTGACTTCACATCAAGGTGCTCATTTTCATTTTAATTATCGAGCATGTAATTTTTTAAAGCAGACTTAAATCCAGTTGTACGTTATATACCAGTCATTTATTACCTACAAAACAACACTTAAAATTCCAAACACATGTACTACATTTTAGATATTTGCCTTAATTTCAGCTTTTTATTCTCCTGCTTAACTTTAACTAATAACTCTTTTGAAGTCAAAGAGAATTCTCCTAAAAGCAAAATATTCTTTGTCTGTCTTATTTACGCTTCATTATTTGCATGTTTCAAAATATTAGTAAAGATAATTCTTAACAAATGAGAAAAATCAAGTTTATCTACATCGGATGATCTGAAGGTATTTTACCAATGAACAATACAGCTAAAACATTACCAATTATTTTAATTGAAATAGTTTTAAGACAAAATAGAAAATCTATGTCCCATTAGTCTCCTGATAGTAGTAAATTTTTGAAAGGAATAAACAATACTCACACATACAGTTCTATATTTTTTATGTAGAATTTTAGCCAAATTAGATATTGGTTTGTTAAATCCCTATATTAAAGGCTTTAAACTAAAAGGTATTTTCGTTTATTAAACTGACCAATAATCAAAATATAGATGAATCGCCGCTAAGACTAAAAACAGTCTTCCTATAATCAGAGAATTCGACCATTTGAAAAATGAAGTAATGTTTAGTAACAAATGCAGAGTAAGAAATGGATTCCAACATTTACCATTTTCATCGATTGTCCTGGACATAAATGAAGAGATAAATCATTATTCTACTGTACTAAGCTTCACGGGAATTATCAGAAAGCATTTTCATACCTTTTAAGTTTGGATATTTGTAAAGGGTTTAAAAAATCTGATTTGAACAGTTATTCTTTACATAACTAATTCATTGATTTTGGGCAGTGAGTATTAAAATCGTTTTATGAATTTTTTTACTTAGAATAAATTTGGAGTATCATTCTAATTATTGACCATGTATTTCAGTCTTGAAATAAAATTCAAATATCTCCAAATATCTTATTCAGTTTTGATTCATAAATCATGGTATTTATTGAGATTTATAAACTGTAGAACATTGTAGCGTTACATCCCACTCGTTTCATGAATGAAAATAATGAAAATGCGAATGATCACAAGTCTTGTTTTTTTGATGTCCCCTAAATGGATTTAGAATAGGTGGAAAACTATGTAGTGTCTTGATTGTGTAAAGATACAAAGACGAGTTTGATGATAATAACATTATAAATATCAACACAGTGAGCTGCTACAAATTCTGGGTAACGCTTTTCCCAAACACGCAATTTTTGTTATAAACTTTATTGCTTCAGAGTTCTTCAAATCCGTTAACCACCTACACCCAATCAATTCCATCAAGTGTTTGCAACCAATCACGAGTCAAATTACAAAGAAACTCAAGAAGCACCATCATGATGGTTCTTATGTTTGCCTTCTCGTTTGGAGAAACGTGAGATGACTTCCGTAAAATTCATACATCATATATATATATTCGGTGATCAACAAAGATATTGTGGGAGCAAGGTCGAGGGTAAACATTCACAAATAAATATAAATAATAGCTAATTACCATTATATATATAATATGTCTAAGTTAAATGTTTATGAAAGGGGAATTCTGTTACAATATTGTACATTTCGTGCTGAGAATTATTCACTGTAATTAACTATATACCACTGAATAAAGGGATCATTATCATCATGATTACTACTGTATGAGGCTGTGGTTAATTATTTTTAACTAGAAGAATCTTAAATCAAAAAACTAGGCGAGACTAATTTATGGACGACCTTAGGACGAATCATAAGCAACCTTGAGAAATATTAGCCAATCAGCAAGCAGTCAGTATAGAGTAAAAATGTTATGCAAAACCAAGGAAATAAAGTGGATACACTTATACGTGGTTCAAAAAACTTGTCAAGATTAAAAAGAGGTTCAGAGGTTCTAAAATCGTAATGCATGCAGTAGAGGACATCATCCATACGGCTACAGAATAGTCGGCCTCTGGAGCCATGATAAAGTCTCAAAAACTCTTTCAGCCTCGACCACATAACTTCAATATTGTTTATGTGCACTCCGGTTGTTAAGTACACAAAATGTCACTTGTGGTTAACGACACGATGCACATAACCAAGACTATGTACGAGTCTGTACGCTCTCCAAACATCCGTATAAATTGTAGTACCTCGCTGCGGCCAGTGTTACTGGTGCTTTTATTATCCAGTTCGCAATAATTGTCGTAATTTGCCTTAGTTGGGAATTATATATAGGGTTTTCATCACGAACTGACATCAGCTATAATGCCAGAAATTTATTTAGCCAAATGGATGAGAAGCTTTCGCGTTAAAATCCGAGATCTATTACCTTATACCTGATTCATCCACAAATTATAGTTCCGCCGTTTTATTTGTTATAGCCGGTCAATTAGCACGTTTTGTACAAAATTCCCTGTGAACCGGTCGTACGTTAGCATTAAGCACTGAAGTTGGCGCCGTAACCTTGAAATCTCTAAAACGCCTCTGATTGGCTCGTCCATAAATTAGAGTCTCGCCAAAAACTATTTAAAAAAACATTCTAGACAACAATCGTTATTATTGTATGTTGTGATTTAAATAACATAATTTCGCAACATTTTCAAAATGAACAATCAATTAAATCGCCGAAATCTAAATGCAAATAATAATGAAGAAGACGAAGAGCCAAGCTAATAAACTAAAAAAAATTCGACTCAAAATCAAAATTTCTGGTGTGAATAGGCAGATATTATCAATATATGAATGAACAGTAACAAAAATAATAAAAAATAAGTAGTACTGACAAGAAAAAGAAAACTAAAAATAAACGCTAATTAAGAGATTCAAGCAACGATAGAAATGCCAAAAATGATTAACCTAACAATAATTTACTGAACAAAAATAGTTCAATAAGAAGTTAACACTTTCTTTTCATTTTAGAAAAAAATAATAATCAGCATTAAAACACAATAACCATGACGAGATTGTCATCACATTTAATGATTCTGGCACTAATTCATGTATGTATATCAATAATGAATTGATCTTATCATGTAGATGCTATTTGTATGCATACCGATCAAAAGAAATAAGAGGTAAAATGTAATAACTTTAAAATAAAATAGTTTGTTTAGTTGAATAAATATTGTATAATATAACTAGTTATTGTGATTTATTAAACGTAAGTGACAAAAATGATACATATCTTGTTTAAGATAATTGATTATAGCAAAGCATTATGACGATAAGTATTTGTTCTAAATTATCATTTATTGAAAAAGTATAAATAAAGTTCGGAAATAATAAATCGATTAAATTGGGTTTTTTAAATAAAGCATTCGTTTTCAAAAGTTAGAACATTACTTTTAATGCGAAATGATAGGATCGCAAAAAAAGACTCGGATCCAAGTATACACAAGAAGCAAAATAAAAGAAATAAAAAAGAAAAGGAGATTGGAAAAATCAAACTAAACACTAAAATAATTTTCAAAGCTATATATGGATTTAAAAGAAAACGGAACAGGTTAATTAAAATATAAAGCACATGATCTAATGACTGATTTATTGTTGATGTTCAATTAAAATTGTAGAATTAATTAATTTCGTTGTTGTTTAAATTGGAAGTTTAGATAAGCGTCGATCAGCTGGAGCGTAAACTAAATTATTTTTAAAAGAAAAAAAATAATTATAAGTTTTAATGTTAGGAAATTAGTAATTTGCTTGGTGAATAATTCTTTAAAACACAATTATATGAATGAAGAATATTTTTTTCAATGAATTTCTCATCAGGTTCTACAATTCATAAATCCATATTAATAATCCATAAAATTGGCCAGATTTAAGGCAGAGTAAATCATTTGGAAATTGTAATATATGAATTGAGTAAGTAGACACTCTAAAGGTCACTTTGGCGTCGCTCAAAGGTCGTTCATAAACTATAGTCTCACCGAATATGTTTGTACTATTTTGATTAATGTTATAACTAAACACAATATTACTCGGTTTAAACATTATTTGATCAGTGGTTTCAGTACAAATGTAAGAAAATGAATTTGGTGATATACAATTCCATAAAAACACACACAATCGGTTGAATCCAACGTTCACTATTAGTCAGAAGATAAGCAAAAAGATAAGTATTTATCGATTAAATTATATTGAAAAAAAGTAAACATAAGTTATCTATAATCAAGCGTGGGTAATACCGACTAGGGTCTCAAGCACACAGCACATGATTTATTCTACTTCATTATATTTATTTTTCATCGAATGGTTATAAACTCCATTGAAACCGATTTCCTGGTTGCTACAAAACGGTCTTTTCTATCATTAACAGGAACTAATGTAATGGGGATATATTTGATTCAAGTAATCTGATCCCAAAATTACATAACTTACGACTAACCAAAGTCGGTCAGTCACAATGTAGAACCTTTACATATGTACTCCAGTCCAAGTTGCCATACTCCATTAACACAGATATTGTTAGGCCAAATCCCAGATTAGTAGAGGTAGTAACAATACCAGTGGTCATTAAAAATAATAGGCACCAGAAGTACAATTCAAGTAGCAAATATAAATTGGTGAAGTAAAAATACAATGAAAAGTCATGAGGAATTTAGAATCTCAAGATTTGAGGAAAGACAAAGAATGGATGCAACTGCGACATTTAGAATGGTTTTTCAGCCATTTAATTCAAAGTCTCCAACCATTAGTTACGATAATCACACTAACCTCAACCAGATAGTCTGCATCTATTAACATGGCTTGGTGGAATTATCAGTGACTTCATGGACTGATGGCATGTTTTGGTTTGTCCCTAGCTTTCCTCCAGCCTGCTCCTGCACCAAAAAACATTGCCCGTCGAGGTAAGGGGTGGTCGGGCATACGTAACACATGTCCCAACCACCTCAGTTGATGAAGATTCACTATCTCCAACCAATTGTCCATCCTTACCTAACACTATATTCCTAACCCAAGCATTGCTTATTTCATGGTCTCAAAATACACGAGTAACGCTTCGCAGACACCTATAATGGAATACCAGTAACCTAAGAACATTTTCTATTCTTAATGACTATGTTTTACATCCGAAAAGTTAGAAGGAGCGAAACGCTGCACAGTAAACTCGTCCTTTTCTTGAAAGAAGAATATCTCGCTTACACCACAAGTGATGCGAGTTGGCGAAAACCAATAGTGCCGTCTGAATCCGTGTCGAGATTTCATCAGACACCAGACTATCAGTATTGATGAGACTCCCAAGATAAGGGAACTGGTCGATACGTCCGCCTATCTACCTTCCTATTATCAATTGAGTTGATGACACATGCTACCCCAAAGTAAAATTTCGCATTTGGAGAGAGAAAACAGCATTCCAAACGTGCTTGCATTATTGCCTAAGATGGTTACAGGACTCTGCAATTTGTCAGAGATTTCACCAAACAGAACTATAACATCTGTGTGCTCTAATTCAACAAGTGAATCTCCTGGTAGAAGATCAATCTGTGAAAAGTCAGACAGTGAAAGTGTAATTACTAAAAGAGAATTTAAATAAAATTGGGGAAAGTTGACAACCGTGACGAACACCACTTGAAGTAACAAATTCCGATGAATTTTCGCCATAAACTCTGACTCGACCAATAATCGAGCTGAGCCTGTATAGGGTTAATGTACCTATTTGGTACTCCTTTCATTGAGAGCCACTGCTACAGAACCTCGCAATCGACGGAGTCGAACGCCAACTTAAGGTTAAGGAATACAACTCTAGTAGGACGTCGGAAAGCATTCCCCTATGCTTTCCACAAGAAGATTTTCGTCCTTTCTTATAAACTGGAACGATCAGCGATCGAAACCAGCCAAATGGGAAGACGTCCAGATCCCAGATTTTATGTGAAATTTCAGTTAATCTAACCGCTAAAAGTGGATCACCATCCTTAAAAATATCAGAAGTTAGTCCACTAGGCCCTGCTCCTCTCCTTCACTTTAGATCCCTCATAGCCTTTTCGAACTCACTGGGCGTCGGAGGACATCAGTTTGCCATCCAAATTGTTTGGAGATAGTGGGCTGAAGACCAGTTGAACTGTACCCTAAAGTGTACTGCCCATCGGTCTAATCTCTTGGATTGAAAGTGAATAATAGTCCCACTTATATATGATCATAAGAAACATTATGCAAAACGCTTAAGGGTTAAGTAAAATAATAAATAATTCTTGATTATTCAAAAACGAAGAATATTTGAGCGAACAATTGTTTTCAATAACTTCATCATCAGGCTCTACAGTTATAAGTCCATAATTATAATATTTTACAAAGGCCAAAAATAAGGCAAGTATTAATGAATCATCGTAAGGTAGGTAAGAAATATAACTTGCCATTAAGAATATAATCGGTGAGCATAGGTGTCAGATTTGGATTGTTTGTTAAAATGGCCAAAAGCATATCGTTGAACAGCTCCAACTGGGTAACGGTAGGTCCTTCGTTCCTGGGAGATCGGTGGTACGGAACCGAAGTGGTCAAATACTAATGGCAAAATACCAGAAAAAACAAAAATTCATACTTGTATTCAACGAACGATTCCTGAGAATAAATATCACTCGACCAAAACAATCACAATAATATGATCACAAAAGGACTCGAAAACACACTGGATAAATGAACCAATTGAGAGTAAATGGTGAACATACAAACAGTATGGGTTTCTAAGTTTCAAAATTTCATATCTATCAAACATTCCTGCGAACACTAATCCTACTATAAGAATACATGGTGTTTAATAAAGAAAATCGTGAAATGATGGGTGGTTTGCAAAACCCAATATCTCTTAAAGGAACTGTAATCTTTTAGAGGCTTTTGAGTGACTACGAATATTTGAACACATGGTTCCAAAACTCCCAATAATCGTTGTCGGAGAGAAACATTACTAAACGATGTTTAAACAAAATGTTTTTCAAGAAAAAACTAAGGACTAATTAGCATGAAACTCAGGCTGATTTGCTTATTTTAACAAACGATAAGTGGGTACGATCAATTTGCAAAAATTGATTAGAAACTTTATTTCCAGATTAGCTGCTTATTAAGCTATAACCAAGAATTTACAAACTATATGATTTAGAAATTAAAAACTTAGGCAAATTTGAACACAGTTACTAAAAAAACATTTTTTAATCATGTTTTAAACGTTGGAATATCTAACTTAGTTGAGATATACTACTGTCTTCGACCTCACCCTACATCAACCACTAGTTAAGAAAATGTAGTACTAGCCGGAGATTTGAATGCACAGGTGATCAATGGGCACTTGTTGGTCATAGGTCAAATAACAATGACAGTTTACTGCGAATTTTCCCAGACTGCAACCTGTTTCTGGCTAGCACTAACTATCGGCAAAATCATCCTCTACGTCAGACCTAGCGTCTTACCTCTGCATCTCAGGTGGCATCAGCGACAATACCAATTCACGTAAAATGAAAAGCAGAGCGGCTTATGCCAATTTAGGCCTTTTTTAGCGCCTTCATGATGTTAGACTGGCTGCAAAGGGTCGGATCTACAACGCGTCAGTGAGAGCAGTTTTGTTCTATGCTTGTGAAACCTGGCCTCCCCAAGTTGAGGATGTTAGACGACTCTCTGTGTCTGATCATCATTGTACCCAATGGATTGCTGACATTCAGTGGCAACATCATGTTAGTAATGAAGAACTTCGGCATCGTGTGTTCGGGCACAGAGACGATAATTCAATTAGTGTCACTATCTTGAAACATCGAATTCGGTGGCTCGGACATGTACTACGAATGTCGTCCCACAGAGTTCCATATCGTGCATTACTTGGCGACGCTGGGACTGGTTGAAAAAAGCGGAGACATGGTCAGTGTATAACGTAGTGCCGTGGTAAAAAAAAATTAAGGTCTGGTTTCTGTTGGTCTTTCATGACTTCGTGGTTGGGATCCTAGAGATGGAGGGACACAGTGGCTTGAGACGTTATCAAACATGGCTCAGAATAGAAGGCAGTGGCCAACTTTTTGTAACTTTCATTTACTTTAAATAAGAACTTTCGTCTAAATTTGAACGAATAGTTACTTCAACTTCTTTCGCTGAGATTTTACAAATATATATTATTCCTCTTTAATGACTTTCATTTACTTTCTTCATAAAAGTGAGAGTAAATTCTTTACCTGAAAGAATTGTTTCTAGTTGTATTTTTCCCAATTGAACTGCTTCTCTATTATTATTACACGTTTTAACTACATCTTTTGTATTCTCTTGAATAGTTTTACAGTAATCTATCTTCAAAGATAGCACAGTATATTTGTAACAAGGAAATTGATTTTTTACAGCGTTACAGGAATGTATTGAACAAAACTAACCACAGAAGAAGACCACATTTACTAATCTCAAATATGCAAGTAAAAATTGTCACTCACTGTTCTAATTTTCATTTCAAGACGAACCTAGAAACAACTTAAACCTTGGCACTGATATTGAACCTAAAATATCTCACTTTCAGATTATCATCTAAACATGTCATGACATTAAAAACAAAAATGTGACCAAAAGGTCCATGGTTATATTGTTATGTTTTCTACTGCCACCAAATGCCCTGGTATGATCGAGGGTTTGGAGAGTCCGCTCCTCCTCTCGAAATGCTCTCACATGGCCACGTGCATACAACCACTATCAGGAAAGACCTACTCACTGCCTTCTCATGGTGGGGGTGTTGCTTACGAAATTGAGAGAAGGAAAAGCGAATGTTCGGCGGTTTAATCGAGTTGGTGGACACGGAGAGTCCACCTAGAGGAGTTGGAAAACCCTGATTCCAAACCAATGATGCACATGAGTTCCAGGATCCTGAGGGAACAAATGGCGTATGAAGCAATTTTCGGTCACCGGCTAACATAGGACTGCATTTCTTGACGTTGTTACGCCAACTTGTTGATTTTTTTATTGAGATCATGAACCGATTGATTTTAGACCACCATTAAAACATGGAAGCACTGGACGCCGTTTTTTCATATCGCGGGACTCCTTACCCGTGCACATCCACGATCTCGCTCGCGAGATTAAACATAAACATTGGTACAAGGAGGTACCAAATACACATGCGTCACACTTCGCCATCCAATTTGTGTGAGGGCTGTGACATTGCTCGGGTTCCAAGACCGAAACAGGCGGTTTTCTTAAGGAGCCATACGCAGAACCTTTGACCTGAAGGTCTAGTCCACAAGAAAAATTATTTTATTCACTTCTATACAATATGAGTTTCACATTGAAGTAGCATATAAGGCAAGTTTTTAAAAAATGAATACATAACGTATGTGACAAACATAGAAACCCATCATCGAAAATAAGAACTTTCGTCTAAATTTGAACGAATAGTTTCACAATATTTGGGCGCCGAGTTAATTTGAGACATTAAAAAGAAGAATATATTTGTAAAATCTCAGCGAATGAATTTTTCCTTGAAAAAGCTTGGACCAGATTGCCAGGCGAAACGTTGGATTTACCTAAAATTCATTCGCTGAGATTTTACAAATATATTCTTCTTTTTAATGTCTCATCATCAAAAAGTTTGAATAAATTGACTATTTTATATATTTATAAATGAACTGTATATAGACACTAAAACAGTTAGTATAAGTAATATTACCAAGGTCTGACTTGATGATTCCAAATAATGTGAGTATTTGGTAGGTTGTTAGCAATACTGTGGTGTGTGCTACTTATGCAAACAAACATAAGTAGTATGTAGCAGGAATCGGAAGTGGAATGCAGAAGATTGAAATAAAGAAAGGAGGAAGGAAAACGGAAAGCAGTCGGAACACCACCAGGATTGGAAAAATGATGGAGTGTGCGAAGGACAATTCAAAGATGTGCAAATGATGTATTTCATGTATGATTCTCATATTTTGCAAAGGCAATGTGATTTTGCATAAGACAATCAACTGGTTTACCGTATACGAGTTTTTGTTCACTACGATAGCAATTAGTGTAGAGGGATGCTTCCTTTATGGATACATAATTCATTCAGACTAAAAAAAATGAGTTATTATATCAACTATACTGAATAACTGAAAACAATACGTTTTTACCATGGTCTATAAGCGTAAACATGGACATCTAAAAATATTAAAAAAGAAATATTGAAAGGATATTGACTACCTTATATTCAAGATCATCCGAACTTAGTTCAGATCGTCCAATCAAATGACCAGAAGCCGAGTGTGTTAAAGTGGTAGGTATTGAAGGGAATTCAAATTGAGATGATGTAGGACTAGTTACTGCTGAACGAGCTTCTCGACTACGGACAAACGAGTTCATTGGGACTTCTGCTTGATGACGCCCACGGCGAAGGAAAGCCCTGAAAGTCCCGGTGTTCTCAGTTTTTGAAGGTCCTTCTGATTTTCTTCCGGCCCATTTTCGAAGACGAGCAATGGCAATAGCTCGAGCAGACATAATTGTTGGACAGTGAATTGTATGATCATCTTTTTCTGACAAATTGTTTACGTCACATTTATTATTTGGAGAAATAGATGCTGTGTGAACAAGATTACATTGATCTGACTGATGATTTGTTGTTCCTGAAGTATCCTTTGAAAATGTACTCAGCCTTCGAAAATGCCTTTTTATTGCAACTGTTGCAGATGATGTTGCAGCAACCGCTGCTTGAGCTGCTGACTGTGCACCTGATAATAAAAAACATAATTCGTAGTGAAGAAATAGACACACATCAAAATTAATAACCTAAATGTTTAAAAATCCCAACTATTGAGCGAAACGAAAATATGCTACTGTAACTTACTCTTTATCAACAATAAGATTCCTACAAGAGAAATGGATTTTAATTTTTAAATATTGACACATCCTTATTTAACTAATGATCAAACAATTTAAATCATTATTAAATGAGTATAAGAAGCAAAAGTAAATAGTCCTACTGTAAAGTAATACCAGTGATAGAAGACTTGTTTTAAAAAGTCCATTGTGATGTTTATTTTAGAGGTTAATATCACACAACTTTTAAAAAGTATTCGCAAATTCAACTTGGTAAACGCCAAACTAGTGTGTATACTACACACATTAGGCCTATGGTTAAATATTGATTTTATTTGTCCTGATTATTGAGTGATTAGATCCAGGTTCCGTAAATAAATGTTACAATCTGCCACAAATATCCAGTGGTTGAGACCGATGAAATCTTCTAATTGAAGTATCTGAGAAAAACACTACAGCAATACGAATAAACTAACTTTCTAATATGTTAGGTAGTCACCTCCATAGACCTAAACTCCTTTGAATATATATACACAAATATCATAAAAGGAATCTACTGTGACTTACATACAAAGTAATTATATCGTGCACAAAGTGTATACGTTGAAAACTATGGTTGTATAGTAGAAGGTAGGTATGAAGTGAATTAAGATGACAAAAAAACAAATGATACAGCAAAAATATTGAAAATATGAACATAGCATACGTAAAATGAACGGTGGGGCTTCTTTATGAACAGAATTCGATGGCGATCCCATATTGTCGAGCACTATGTTTCGCCCAAATGTGCACGCTTCATCATAGTCTTTTACCAACAGAGAATTTGACAGTAACTGAATATGACTATCTGGTGGTATACTTAAACGTCTCCGACGCTCCAGACGGCGGTGCAATTCGTTCAAGCGTGCAATAAAAATATCTTTCTGTTCTTGTTCAAAATCCAATTCTTCTCTATACGCCAACTCTTGAACAAGGATAGCAGAATATTCTCGTACACAAGATTCTAGTTCTTCTAATAATGCATTGAGTTCATTCAGAGAAAGATCTTGCATAGCTTCAAAAAATTCACATAAAATAAAAGTTAATTTGAAACTTTTCAGTAAATACCAGGTAAGCGTTTTTTTAGTTCAGAATAAAACAAAATGATTAGACAAACAATTACAAAGATGTTCTATTTTCATTATTTCAACGAATTAAATTCATTAGCTAAGAGGATTAAACAGTTTTCGAACGATTAATAAATAAAAAAAAACACTAATGATTAGTAAAAATAATGTTCAAAATAAAGTTCAGGTATAAAATTAATTCACACTTAGTAAACAAAAAGTTAAAACTGTATACATAATATAACAAACTAAAAAAAGTTTAATCACTTTATTTGATGCCATACGAATATTTCAATGCATTAAGTTACAGAATCGTTTACAACAAACGCAAATGTTAGCAAACGTTAGCACGTTGAAAGCCCCATGACAATACTTTATGATATCTATCTTTTGTTCTGAGACATACAATGAGGTGAAAATCTATTGGATCGGGTTTGTGAATGGTTAAAAAACAGATATGTGAGACTATAAACAGCTCAGCGTAGACGCATTCACTATTCATCAGAATTTTAAACATTACAGTATTTCACAACTGTTTTTCTCTACTTGTTAATGTTCTTTTCCCAGTTCATTTATCGACAAATTTCCTTCCAAATATATCCAAGTGCAGCTTGATCAGTTCTATATTCAGCAAATACTCATCAGATATTTGTAACTTAGTGACAATAAAAATTCCATAATGAGCAATTCAGTTAGCACTCAATTTTGATGAAGATCAACTCCAGTGCTTCTGTTCCTGTCAGTTAGACGAGAAAACCACTAACCTGTTAACCAACAGCAAATACAGAACTCACTTATACGTCTGAGCCAATTACTACGTACAATTCTAGCTAGTTGAAAGTCAAACCCTCAAACTTATATTTAAACTTGCCTGATGGATATTTTAGTGATCACAGTTTAGAACGCTTAGTGGTATATTGGAAAGAAATCAAAATAAACAAAGATCCAGTTTCCGATCATAAAAAATAAAAACATATTAACATTGAAAGTTAATACAAGAGGAGGGCAATTGAACGAACTATCGATGTCTCAAATTAGTAAGTGTCTCTTTAAGTAGGATTTTTGAAAACCGAAAAGTATGAACAATATTATCGATTATAAAAATATAAACCTTCTTCAGGAAGCCAATCACTTCCGATATTTTCTAGCACCAGTGGACGTTTATACTCCGACTGGACCATATTGCACAGTGACAAAGGGATATCTTCATTATCATTCTGAAATAGTTTAAGAAACTTTACTCTACATTTACCATAAGAATATCAATTTCCTTAATGATTTCGTCGGCAGTTTGAACGATTTCATCGTATGAATCAGGCAACTGAGATGTTACTAACGAATGGTGATCGAATGCATAACTAATGGCTTCATCTTCGGGTATATCTAGATCGTAACATTCAACTGGTTGCTAAATGCTGCAGATTAGTATATTGTGAAACTAACTTCCTGTTCCTTGATATCCAGAGCTTCTAGAACAACTCCATACAAACACGTCCCAAACCAATGTACTGGTGGAAATGTGTAGTGATCGAGTAGTGGGCCCAAAAATTCTCTACTACAAAATTTCAAATAATTATTAGAGAAAAAAGAGACCTACGAATCAAACGATTGTGACTTATCCTTAAGTTTAACCTGATCGTTTGAATCTTTGAAAACGCCATCAAACGTGAAGCACCTTGCGATTTCTTCACTAAAAGCTGTAGTTAAATCATTGGTCATTTTGCGATCTCTGGAGACTAAATAATGAGTTTCCTCAAGATTTCACTGCTGTTTCGTTTTGGCACATAGCCCGGAAAATCAAATGTAAGGAAACACCAACCTATTGGACCCAACAACGAATCTTTAAGGAAGAATACAATTGTGGATAATCATAAGACTTGAATATTTATGTTTGAAAGACTAAACTCAGTGATGTAATGATTCCAAACAGTAACACAACCGAAAGTCGAATACATTATTATCTCTTAACTAAACATCAGAGGGCTGAAAACAACGGCAAGCTGATAGCTTGCTGATGAGGTGTCCAGCTTAAAGGATACTTATATCACTCCTCTTTTTGTGACTCATGAAGCTTATACTAAGTGGCTATAACTAAGTTTTAGTTAGGCATACCGTAATTTTATATCTAGTCTTACAAACCGTTTCACTTAACTTACAGTTCTTTTAAAACGATTGATGTTCTTATCTTAAAGTCAGGACTTTGAAAGATTTTGAGAAGCATATGAATTAAGGGAATAAGTGGTATATTTCACCCAAAACAATACAGACACTCTAAAATTTGTAGGAGACAGGTCAAAGTGAAACAATTTATAATTTGGTTCGGGATAGTTCGGATTCATTTAAACGTCTTGAATAAAAAACGGCTAAATATCATATTAGCCTACTGTTTACGGACCTGAATTCTGGGTGGTTCACTTTGTGGAACGTGCTGCTTAGAGAAGGCTTACTAGTAAATAACAGGCCCTGGATGAGAGTGTTTAGCTTAGAATTCGTTAACCATACCCCACATAGCTCAATAGGCGGAAAGCTATTCGTTTATTTAGTGTTTTCAGCTCCAACACAGAACCTTGTAAGCATGTACTCCAGTCCAAGTTGCCATACTCCATTAACACAGATATTGTTAGGCCAAATCCCAGATTAGTAGAGGTAGTAACAATACCAGTGGTCATTAAAAATAATAGGCACCAGAAGTACAATTCAAGTAGCAAATATAAATTGGTGAAGTAAAAATACAAAGAAATGTCATGAGGAATTTAGAATCTCAAGATTTGAGGAAAGACAAAGAATGAATGCAACTGTGACATTGAGAATGGTTTCGAGTCACGTCTTTCAAAGTCTCTAACCGCTGATTACAGTAATCAATTGTGGTGTTGAGTAGCACTTCAAGCGCGGATTAGTGATAGTGTGAGGCTGCTTTTAAAGGGCAGATTAAGACTTATGTCGAGTTCGAAAATTGCAAAGGAAATTTCATAACTTGTAATTTTTGTGATAGCACAAAAATTACAATTACTTCGACATTTCTTACAATGAGGTGAACACATCATAAACAACACGTTTGACAATACGAGACGGATAACTATCACCAAACTGACCCATAAAACTGTCAGTACGTCGTCGTCATCCTAACCATGAACATTGATTTATAGGCCGTCTATTTTGAAAAAAAAAGTGAAAGCCGTCAAACTTAAAGGTTCAGGCGTAAAAATACTTTCTAGACACAAGAAGTCAAATCATTTAGTCGCTCAATGAAACTGGGGATTGAAAGATGTTAGTTTCGACTACCCGAGCTCACAAGTTTGGGGAGATTTTGGGGAAATCCCCAAAGTCAAGTGACCTTGACCAAGGTTAAAGGGGAATCTCCCCAGGCCTGAGGAAGTTTGAGGTTTTCAGCCATTTCCCCAAAGATACTATAGCGGCTTCCCCAAAATGGTTCAAATTTTCCCCGAAATTGGGAGCTCGGGCTAACGCACAGATGTACGGATATAATCAACAATATTTGAGGAGGTTCAAGTACACCACTTGAGTAGGACTAGTGAGAACACGTATTAAAGATTTTTTTATAATTATAATTTCATCTCGAACAATATACGAGTATATGTACGATCAGTAGACGTCACAAATCTTCTGACAAACATAATTAGCCGTAGTCACGATTAAATTTGCACTATGATGAAATAACACATAAATACTAAAGGAAACGCTGGACTTCTAAGTCTAAATAAATGGAAAGAACCCTAGCGTAGAACCTAGCAACTGAGTTGAAGTACCGGATGATTGGTAACACCCGCCAACATGATATCAGTCTTCAGTCCTCAGTAATAAGGAAAGGAGGTCTGTCGACCTATATTAATCCTTGCAGTTTGTAATACTGTGGAGGTCCAATCTCGTTTTGAATATATTAACAGACGGTGCTGATATTACGTGTTCCGGTAGAGAATTCCAGTAATTCACTACTCGGTGCGAGAAACGGAACTCCAGACGTAAACGGTTTGATCTCGGTTTTTGAACTTTCTTCGAATGTCCTCTCAAATGATCGGTTCTAGACGGAAGCAAAAGATAAGACATGTTAATACCAAGGTCATCGTTCAGTATACGATAAGCCAATATTAGATCACCCCGTACTCTACGGTAAGATAACGGAAATAAGTTAAGGTGTCTCAGTCTGTCTTCATAAGATAGGCCAGATAGACCTTGTACCATCTTAGTAGCTCGTCGTTGGACTCTTTCTAGCATATCTGCTTCATATTTGAAACAAGGACACGCTGCTTGAATCCCGTATTCTAAATGTGGTCGCACATAAATCGGGTATAGTAATCTAAACATTTCATCATCTAAATACTGGAAAGACCTACGAATTGACCATAATACCCTATAGCCTTTTGCAGCAGCAGCCTTACAGTGACTAGTCGTTTTGAGATCATTGCTTAATATAACTCCTAAATCTTTATAGTTTCTTGCTTTGGGTAGCACGAATCCACGTAGTGTATAGTCATACGATTCATCAGAGTTATTTAACTGCATCACTACACTCTTATTAGGATTTACTTCTAGTGACCACCTGTCTAACCATGCCACCAATGAGCTAAGATCGTCCTGTAATACTATTCTATCCGACATACTATGTATGGGTCTCCAAATCTTTATGTCATCAGCGAAGAGTAGAACGGATGATTTTGCTACAGTTGGCAATTCATTTACATAAAGTAAAAAGAGAAGAGGACCTAGGATTGTACCTTGGGGAACCCCACTTTTTACAGGTACCCACGAGGAGAGAGCCCCATTAAAAAAAACCCTTTGTCTCCTGTCATGGAGAAAGTTACTTATCCAATCGACGACTGTATAATGGATTCCAAAACGTTTCAGTTTGAATTTAAGACCAGAGTGGGAAACCTTATCAAAGGCTTTACTTAGATCTATGAAAATCACATCCACAGGAGCATTCCGATCCTTTGCCGCAGCCCACTCTTCTCGTGCAATGAGAAGATTTGTCAAGCAAGATAGGCCTTTCCGAAAACCATGTTGTGCCCTGGAGAAAAGATTTTGCCCTTCAACATAGTTTATAACAGCTATCCGAATGATTTTCTCCATCAGTTTTACAACTGCACTAGTTAAGCTAACGGGTCTATAGTTACTAACTAAATCCCTACTCCCAGCCTTATACACCGGACTTATTATGGCGTCTTTCCAGTCTCTAGGAAGTCTGGACTGTCTCAGAGACATGTCGAATAGTATCGCTAATGGTTCAGCAATTTCATCTGATATGGCTTTCATAATCCTAGGATGAATATCATCAGGACCACTGGACTTATCAGGTTTGAGATGCTGAAGTAGCCTTAAAACAGTATCTTTCTCAATGACTACAGGATCCATCAGCGAGCCGTCACGGTCGCGATGAATCATTGGTCGTTCCTCATTACCGATAGAAAACACTTTACTAAAATATTCCGATAAAGCTTCAGCTTTTTCGGCATCATTCTCTGCTAAGATTAACGGATTTCTCGTATCAAAAGTGATGGAATTCCATCACTTCTCTTAGTTCGCCTTTTTATATACGAGAATAACCGTTTCGGACTATATCTAGAATCCCTAACCAATTGTTTTTCGTATGATAGTCTAGTCTTGCTTATTAACGCTTTACAGGCATTCCTAATCTTACAATAACTGGATCTGTATTGTTCTAAGCCAGTAGAGATGAACATATTCCAGTGATTCTTCCTTTTTCTAAGGAGTTTCCTGACCGTTTTAGTTATCCATGGTGGACTATTATTCGGTCTTCGCGGTACCAGGTATGGTATGAACGGGGACGTAACTAGTCTAAATTTACCTTTAAATACAGACCATGCTTCTTCAACTGATATGCTAGTATCTACTAACCAATCTGTCTTAGCAGCGCATTCCTGAATGGCTGATATGTTAGCTTTCCATACATTTGGGCGAGGTGTAACCTGATCGTATAACATGTCCCTAGTTCGAAACGTGAATGACAAAACAGCGTGATCGCTGTTCACTAACGGCGGGAGAATATTTAAGTCGACAATATCCTCAGTCTCATGAGTGATTACCAAATCCAGCAGAGAAGAACCCTGGTTAACACCAAAACGTGTGGGTTGGGATACATGCTGCACTAGTGCATGCTCCATTATTGTTATCAGGAACCTACTATCAAAGGAGTTTATAGATCCTTCTGTGGTCATATCAGTCCAACTAATATCAGGTGCGTTAAAGTCTCCTATTATCAAACATCTGGTATTTTCACTCCAAAGATGAATGTGCTCTAAAACAAAGTCATCAGCTAAGCAGATTGGGCTCCGATAGATGACACCTAGCATAAATGTACTACATCCTATAGCCAACTTACAGCTAATGACTTCACAAGTGCCGCTATCATGGGATTCGCTAGTAGAGGAGCGGATATTTATGCTATTGGCTATATATAACAGGACGCCGCCTCCTTTTCTACATCTATGTCTATCACTCCTGATGCAATGGTATCCGGATAATTCTGGAGTAATGTCTAAGTCATCGACTAACCAAGTTTCTGTCACTGCTACTATGAGTGGCTTTAACCTGTCCACTAGTGCTTCTAGTTCATAGAACTTATTTCGTTAACTACGAGCGTTGGCATATAAAACTCCTAAGTAGAACAGCCTATCCACACAGGCCTTGGTAGCATTCGCTTCCAAGACCTGACTATCCGAAAACCCACTAGCCGGAGATTTTCCTCGCCGTTTTGCCGACGGGTTTCAAGTTCAGCTAGTGCTTTCTTCCTTTTTATTCTATCTTCGAGAGACATGTCAGGTCTAACTCGGATGTCAGAATTGTCGTGACAACGAGCGCTACTTAACAAGAGATCCCGTTGCTTCTCCGATCCTAGGATTACCTTAAGGAGTCTGCATGGACGGGGTTCAACATTGTCCTCGGTCCTCTTGCCTATTCTTACCAATTTTTGACCTGAACTCCTTTGGAGTTATCTGGTAAAATACTACGAATGTATTCTCCTAGCTTTTCTAAGTCATGCGCGTGTCTAATTTTCGGATCAGGGTCGTTTGACTCCCGCAATTTGCTCACAATAATATTCGATGTTATTAGATTTTTCTTCTCAGTCACGCCAGGATGGGTTTCACTCTTACCATCAGATCTTGGTAGTGCAATTTGTGGCTCACAATTTGAGTCCACCAGTGAGTTACTAACTACCTGTGTACTGCTTACAGCTTTTTTCTTTTCGTTTCGTTTCCTACGTACCGTAGTCCATTTTTCATCCCTCATAACACTGGGACTATTTGGAACGGTGACTGTTTTATCCAGATCTTCGGTTCCCACTAAAGGTGCATTATTAACAATGTCAGTACCAGGTGGTACTACTCCCCCTGTTAATGTCAACGAAGATTTCACTTTTACGTCGGTCAGAGTCGGTTGTTTGAGGCGTCGCGTAACAGCAGGTACTGCACTGACACATTCGTCACTGTCAGTGCCCGTGTTGTCAGCGCATATGCCATCCTTCTTCTTACAGGCCAAAGCCAATAGGCTCATAGCCTCCTGTATTAGTAATGCCTTGTTGGCACAGCAAAACATGCAAAGCCAATGTGAGTTAGGCTTCGAACATCTTTTGTATGCGGTGGGACTTAAGCGGGTGCACATTTTGTGGAACCACTTATTGCATTCGTCACACTGCATTCCCTCCTCCACAGGGAAAAAACAGTTTGGTTGTCCACATTTGTGAGTACTACCAACCATTTTAGTCTGATCAAGGTGTAACACACAATATGATCACAGTATGAACACAAATGTCAGTCAACGAATAAAAGGTTACCACAAGAAAAACTTTAGCAAGACTTCAAACCTTAACTAAAGTACTTTGATACAGACCAAGAATGCTTCGAATGTAATAAATACACAAAAGCCAAAAAAACTCAACAGAATATCACTTTAACTGTATTAGATTCAATTAAAGTGTAAATCGTAGTTTTGATACGTAATTTACGATCAAAACAGTTTACTAATTCAACGAGAAACAATACCACTGTCCTTTTTAGATAGCGCGCGAGTTTCAATTTGGAATAGTCTTTAGTCTTCAGTAATAAGGATAGTAGGTTGTTGAACCTGTGGTAATCTTGGCAGTTTGCCTTCCAATGAAGGCCTTGAAAATATTCACTGATGAGGCTGATACCACATGTTCGGGTAAGGCGTTCCAGTATTTGGCCACTCGATGCGAAAACCGGAACCCAACTTTAAGTTTATTAGATCGCGGTTTGTGAACCTTCTTGCTATGACCTCTGAGATCTTTAGTGCTGAAGGGAGCGAAAAGATGATACATATTAACATCCAAATCATAATTAAAGATACGGAATGCCAGTTAAAGGTCACCTCACGTCCTACGATACGACAAAGGGTAAAAAGTTTAGGCGTTTTAAGCGTTCATCATAAGGGAATTTAGGAAGACCCTTCACTAATTTTGTTCACACACGCTCAAGTGAGTTAGTGTCCTTTATCAGACATGGATTAGCTGCTGGGATACAGCACTCTAAGTATGGTCTTATGTAGGTGGGATATAAAGTTCGAAACATTTCCTCGTCAAAACATTTGAAAGCTCGGAGAGGTGGCCATAACACACAATAACCTTTAGCACCAGCTGTGTTGCAATACGTTGTTGTTTTCAGGTCATGACTTCTTATTGCTCCTAAGTCTTTATGTTCTTGAACGCGTGGAAGAGGTCTACCATCAATAGTATAACGGTAACTAATATCATATCCAATGTGTATGAGCACGCTCTTCCTAGAATTAACTCCTAGGCTCCCATCACGAGCTCATCTTGCCAATTCGTCTAATTCAGCCTAGAGATCAAAATGATCAGCCTTCTTATTGTTCTCCAGATTTTGACATCATCCGCAAACAATAGTGTCGACGATTTAAGCAACAGTGGTCATTCATTAACGTAAAGAAGGAAAAGTATAGGGCCTAAGATTGCGCCTTACACTGCACCACTTTTGACCGGCTTCCATTTGGATAGCGTTCTTTTGATCGCCAATCCCTGTCTGTGGTCACACAAGAAGCTTCCTTTCCATTCCTGTACGGCACATATTATTCAGAACCTTGAGAGCTTCGGCATGAGACCTAAGTGTGAAACCTTGTCAAATGCTTTGCTAAGATCTATGAATATCACGTTGAAAGACAGACCGTTATCTATGGCTTCTGTCCAATCCTCTCTCACAATACGTAAGTTGGTCAAGCATGAACGCTTGCTGAGAAGCCCATGTTGCTCAGGAGTTAACGGTTTGTGCAACATGGGACTCTCTAGCTTTCCTCGGATACACTATCGATGCTCAGAACATTCAACCTCTGAAAACCAAAGTGTTGATCATTCCGAATTAGCCGGGACCGACGGCAATCAAGCAAGTACTCACGTTTAACAGTCTGTAATTTTCTATAGACGGTTCATACCAAACTGCGCGC